TGATACATTTTTAAAGAATAGATAATCCAGGTGGAGTGGTACATGTCTTTACTCCCAGGCCTCACGAGGCAGGCAGGTGAATCTCTGTGAGTCTGAAGCCAACCTGGTCTACTTAACAAGTTCCAGGCCAGCCAGGATTGTATCCCTGTGTACTGTGTATATATGAAATGCGTATAATATTTTACATGCACACAGCACAAACTGCTCTTCAATCCAAGCTAAGTTCCCAGCACCCATGTTAGGAGGCTCACAGCCACTGTAATTACAGCTTCTGGAGATCCAGTGCCCTCTTCTGGCCTCCACAGGTACCTGCATTTATCTGCACATGGTCACATTCAGACTCACGCACAGCTTTTAAAATTAAACAAAACAAAGGAACCCAGGTTTTGGTAACACATTAACAAAGTGTCCTAAGTTGACATGTAGCCTGTAAAACACATTTGAAGGACACACATTCTTCAGGCATACACAAGCAAGTCATAAAACCGGACCTTTTCTTGGGTCATAAAGTCACACCTAAGTATTATTACACACAGACTACACCCTCTGGACCACAGTAAAGCTAAGCTATGCCAGTATCAACAACAACAGAAAGATAGTTTGAAATATAATTTCGGAACTTCCAAAATGTTTTTAGACAACTCAGGTGTCAAAATGAAATAACAGAAATAAGAAAATATTCGGAACAGAAAAATGGCAAAAATACTGCTCACCAAGTCCTGCGGGAAACATAACACAATACTCAACAGGGAATTTTATAGCCTTGGATGTTTACATAGAGGTTAAAAATACAATAAACACCCCGAAGAGGAGGAAGGAAATAATAAAAATATTAATCAGCTAGGAAATAAGGAAACAAAACAGAAGATCAACTCAAATTGATCCTTTGAAAATGATTAAAATAATCTGACAATGTGTAGCAAGAATAATAAAATAAAATCCCGGGAATAAAAGAGACATGGCTAGATGAAGAAGAAAAACAAGAGAAATCAAGAGGCCATTACAAAAAAAAATTGCTATGCCAATATTTGGGAGGAGGGAAATGGATACATTCCTATAAAATATAAATCACCAAAAGTGATTCACCTAGAAGCAGAAAATCTCAGAGGTCCTATAAAGATTCTTCAAATTACAACAGCAGTTTAAAATATCCCAAGAAGAATGCTGAGTCTAGACAGCTTTGCAAGTGAATTTGCCAAACACAGGCAATGATGATGCCAGGCTTGCTCTGTCTTCTTAGAGACCAGAGAAAGTTCACTCTCACCCAAGCTGCTTGTAAGATGACTGTCACCCAGACTCCAAAGCCTGGAGGGCATAAAGGAAGACTTCTCTCGAGCTGTTCTCATTCACCAAAACTGAGGCCAAAAGAAACCCTGGGGCCTTAAATCCCAGCACTCCCGAAGCCGAAGCAGGCAGCTCTCTGTGAGTTCCAGGACAGCTAGGGCTACATAAGAAAAAAAGAATAAAAGGCAGACAGAACTAAACATCTGTAGATGGAATCTGGCAACAGAAAAAGAAAGAAATGTCGTGGCCAGGTTGCTATGTTTCAGACCTGTGACGTTGTTTCAGAACTGAAAGGGAAGGAAAATAAGCGGAAGTGATTCGGGAACAGGTCAAAGGAGGAAAATCACAGGACCATTTCCACAGCTACACGAAAAGCCTCTGGTAAAACAGCATTCCTGAGAACAAGTGTGAACTATCGAGATATCACTCAGCTCATCTGTTCCATACCCCTTGATGAGCTGACACAAATAGGAACAGGAAAAAATACTTCCAATAATCAATCACACAAAACACCCCCCCTAGAGGTCCTGGCCAGTGTGCAAGAAGTCAGGAAAAAGAAACATTAAAGATAAAAAAAACACAAAAGAAAAGTGATTAGTCACAAATTACATAACTGCCTAAAACTCTGAACAGTTGAGTCAGGAGAAATGATAAGAGTCTTAGTAAAGGTTTTGAAAATAAGACCAGCATATATGAGGGACGATTTCATTCACATATAAATAACAACTTACTGGAAAATGTGAAACTCAAGAACAAAAATCAGGGCCGGCCTGGATACGTATCGGCAGATGAAATTGTGGTGCACCTACGTGATGGAGCTTTATTTGGCTACAAAGGAAAGCAAAATTGCTTTCGGGAAAATGGATGAGTCTAAAAAGTATAGTATTAAGCGAGGTGATTAAAAATCAGAAGGGGGGAAAAAGCATGTTCTCCTTCATATACATATGCATATGTACACACACAGACACGAGAGAGAGAGAGAGAGAGAGAGAGAGAGAGAGAGAGAGAGAGAGAGAAACGTCAGTCCTCAGACGTCAGAGACTGTCCAGCAGCAGTGGCAGGTGCAGAAGACACAAGGGGAGCTAGTGAAACTCTGGCATCAAAGCCGAATTAAGACAGCCCAAAGGCACACCAGCAAAGGTGCAGAATTTCTAAATAAGAATCAGCAAGTCTAACTCAAAAGTCTATGAGAGGATTTCTCTTGCCTGGGGTGGACAGACACGCTCCACAGTCTGTCCCACAAAGGCCAGCGCCAGCTGAAGGCCGGCAGCTGCTCTTGCAAACCCTCAGTGGTTCCCGGCAAGCAAGCTGTGTGTGTGACCACAGTCAATTGCGTCTGCTTCCAACCTCCTCACACCAGCTGCACTAACAATGTAATGACACAAATATGACCAAAAAACTATAAAATTTGAATTTAATGCTCTCAGCCTTTTTAAAAAAAAAAAAGTACAAACAAAATGGCATGAAGATGCCAGACAGATCTTAAAGTTTCAGAGAACCCCACACTCAGATGTTTCCGTAGCATCATTATACTCTTCTCAAAGATTAATAAACTAAAGGCTAAAAATCACAGATATTGTAGTTTTAAATGAAAGAATTACAGCCCCGCCATTCAGCACATCCGGAGCCAGAGAGCTCGGCTGTGTCAGATGACTGGAAGATGAGCATGCACACTGGGGGAGCCTGAATGCCAGTGTTCAGTATGCAGAGGCCTAATGATCCGGTCTAACCAACTTGTCCAGCCAGCCAGCTGACCTCCCGCTTGTCTTAGAGAAGAGGGTTTCAGCCTGAGTAGGCTAGGAACCCTTGACAGATGGCAACCTTAAATTTACCCTAGGACCATGGGGCCGTTGCTCTTTATGTTATCAGGATAACATAAAGAAAAGCACTGTCTTGATAAATACCAAATGATACTGATAAGATTAAACACTTAGACTTGTTTTTCCTTGCGGGAAGGGGGGGGGGGGATGCACACATGTGTGTGCAGGTTCACAGGGCCATGTGCTCACGTGTAGGCTAAAGAAACACATCATGTGTCTTTGCTCTGCCACTCTCCACCTCATTGTCTTGACATGGGGTCTCTCACTGAAGCTGGAGCTGAGCTGGCAGCCAGCCAGCCCCCAGGGAATCCTCTTGTCTCTGCTGGCCACACTCCCTACATTGGTCACAGACCCATGTGCCCGTGCCCGGCTTTTTATGTGGATGCTGAGGATTTGAACTCGGGTCCTCATGCTTGGGCAGCAAGCACTCTTATCCACTGAGCCACCTTGCCAGACTTCATTTAAATTTTAAGATATTAGAAAACTAACAATAAAAAACCAAAATCTCAGCAAAGCCAGGACTATCTGAAACAGCTAGTTTTTACCACAACTAAAAGAAAGTAACAGAAACATTCTCATAAATTAATGGCCGAATAACTTTGCTCAGTGGTCCCTCTACTGTCAAATACTGTTCTGAAATGGGGAATAATAAAGATACAGCTCTAAGGAATAAAGCCAAGCTTGTTTGAACAGTCTTATCCATCGAGACATTTTCTCAAATCAGTAAGGGCTGGGATAAGGACTTAAAATAAAGATATGGCTGAATGTAAGCATACAGAAGTACTGCTCCGGGAGCTGGGCTGTAACTCAGGGTAGGAGCGCTTGCCTAGCATGCACAGGGCACTGGGCTCAATTCCTGGATCAGAGAAAGAGAGAAGAAGGGGAGGGGAAGTGAGGAGGGGAGGGAAGGGAAGGAAAGGGGAGGGGATATAAGGAGAAGGGAGGGGAAGGAAGGACCATTTCCTAGCAAGAATTACAGTCACAAAAAAGAAAGATATTCCACTGAGAATAGTAATAAAGGCTACAAAATATCTAGGGATAAATTAAATGACCTGACCTATAGATAATAAACTAAGCTTTCTGGGAATGTAAGGAGAACAGCAGTGAGAATGAGCAAATCAGGTGTCCAGTGATGAGTAGTTGGCCCTTCCAGAGGCTCCATGAGGCATTTGGCCATATCTAATATGTGTGTGTGTGTGTGTACATACATAAATACTGGGAGAGCATTTACACTGTATTTTAAAGCTTTTTAAAGAAGATATAGAAAATGCAGTATGATTGCAACATTGTAAAACTCGAGGTATAAACAAGTACATAAAATATACCTAGGAACACAGGCGTGTCTAAACAGTCTTAGCAGAGAATGGAGATGCAGATAGCTTTACCTCTGCCCTGCACTCTCTGTGTCTTCTGCATTTCCCACAAAAGGTAATTCAGAAAGAAACCTGAACCACAGAGATCTGCAGAGGCAGAAAGTAGCCCTGCTGGGCACTGCAGGGCTGACTCTGGCCTAACCACTTAGATATCAGGGTACACAAGGACCCACCAGGAGTCCACCACACCCACACTCGTGTTGGGAGAAACAAGGAAGGCTAGCTGCTGCCATCTGAAAAGCCTTCTCAGGCCCAGACCCCGAAGGGCAGAGTCGAAGCTAGGGGCACGCTTGCTTCCTCTGGCCCTTACAGCCACACAGAAGCCCAGCCCACATGCGTAACCAGGACTGAAGTAAGGCTCAGAGGGAGCAGGACATCGATCAGAGGCAGAGATTTATGGGACTGCACCCCAGAACCTTCTCCCCATCCCTCCATGGTTGCGCCATGCACACGAATGCCTCCTCTCCTCATTATCCCAGATGCGCCAGGAAAACCGAGCCAACAAATAACAAAGAATACCTACATGAGGGCTGGACGGAGAAGACCTCAGGTTAGTTGGGGTCAAGCTTGACAACCCATCTGTGAGCTACAAATTAAACATGCCAGTTAGTGATGGGATTTAAGAACCTGTGACAGAAAAGGTTGGCCAGCCTGAGGGAGTAGGACTCTCCCTTCCTTCCCTCCAGGCACCCTCCGCACCAGCTGTGTGAAGAGTATGCTGTCCCCAGTTGGACAAGCCCGGCTCCATGACCCTTCCATTTCTGTGACCTCCCCGAACCACAATGACCCAGAGCAACAGTGAACGGTGAGTCGGGGTCTAAATGTGAGGAAGACCTTGCCTGCCTATTTGGCCTCCTGCTGCGATCTAACTGTCTTTGCTGCCTCTTGTTCAGGTGCCGCCTACTCAGCCACTCTCCCTGCCTTTCTCAAACCTACCTGCTCCAGGGACATTTCCAGTCCCCATCATCTTCTCCTTCTGTCACTAACCTCCCCATACCTTCTGGGTGGGGTAGCCGAGCAAGGGCAAAATGCTCAGCTTCAATCCTCCAGAAGCTGGGGGCCACATGGTTCCCCGGACCCACACAGAGGAAGCTGAAGGAGTCTCACAGTGCACCCCAGCTGTTTGTCCTAGAAATGGCTCCTCACCATAAACCCTCAGATGCATCTCTGGGACTGTAATTTAGTGTCTTACAGGAGCGCCTCAGACATGCCTAGAGGCCATGGCAAGGGGCCAGGGTGAGAGGGTAGGGCTCGTGCAGGTGAACAGCTAATAGCAGGAGAACAAAGCAGAGCAGAGGGCAGAGAGGGGAAAAAAAATCACACAGCAGATCTAAGATGGGAGTGGGGCAGAAAACAGGTCCTGCCACAAGAGAAACAGGAGGTGAGGCTGGAGAAGCCAGGAGTCAGTGGGGACCCACAGGCACCAGCACTAGCCTTCCTCTTCAGTGACCCAGAGACTCCAAGAGGACCCTGAAAAAGGTGAAGCCCGGGCCAGGCTCCCTTCCTGTGCAGGAAGATGGCCAGGTGCTGGGCAGAAGTGGGGAGACCTGTTGAGACCTGAGTGGGTTTTGACTCCCAGCCCTCTCTTCTGTGTAGGAAGTATCCCTGAGGAACAGCTCTGGATCCCAAACCTAAGAAGGCAGGCAGATGAAATGGCATCCTGCCAGGACTGTTGGCCAATACTGGGTACAGTAGGACGTTCCAGAACATAATGGTGCGTAGCTCCAGCAGCCCCCAGAGGGCCAAGGATGACTCTGTCCCTCCCCTTCTTGCTCTGACCCCTCAGACGCCTCTCTGTTATTTTGAAAATGTTCCTTTTTAAAGAAGGTGTAAGGGGGACAGGCAGGTCACCCGAGCAAAAGAAACACATGCAGCTAAACATAGTGCCAAAGCTCCGTGCAGCTGCAGAAATTACACGCTCCCCTTCGGGCTGTGGCCATAATTTGCTGCTCCAATTCTAGGACTGTGTTTCCACCTTCACGGCAGCCTCAAGACTATAACTGGAGCAGCAAGCTCCAAATTAGCTTGAGCCTGAGAGCTGCCCACATCCTAGGCCATCATAACAGAGAAGGTCCCCACCGCTTTCCCGGGCTCCTCCATGCCACCTTCAAGCTGTGTTCTCAGGAATACACAACCCCCCACGTATACATGCATAGCACCTTACCACACACACACCTCACCGCAACACACACACACAGACATACACACACCTACCACTGACATATACACACACACCTACAATAAACATACATTCTACCTTACCACATACACACCTACTGCCTTACCACAAGCATACACCACTTGACCACGCACATACCAACCTTATCACATAGACACACATGCCACCTCATCACATGTATGCGCTATACTACACACATCACCTTAACACATGCATACACCACCTTACCACATACATACTACCTCACCAAATGCGCACACACACACACACACACATGTATATATCCCTTATATACACAGCATAACCTAGCTGCCAATCTAAAACATGCATGGAACACACATACACACAAACATATACCCCCATACAAAAAACACTACATGGATAAACACACATACACACCCCAATAACTAGTCTGAAACCCACACAGAGTACATACATGTGCACGTGCACACACACACACACACACACACACACACAAAGCCTTGCTATGTAAACACACATATCACCTCTTCAAAATGGCATGTTCCTGCCAGATGATATGTTCAGTAAGAGTGGGGCCCAGGCCTCTCCCATCAAAGCAAGCTGGTCCCTCTTTCTCCTCCTCCTCTTCTTGTCTTCCTCTTCCTTCTGCCATCTCCCGACCTAGGCAAGGCCAGCCTTGCCTGTGTGGCACACCTCTAGCAGCCCAGTTCCTGGCCACCCACCTCACATAGAGCACAAGCCTAGCTCTGGCTCTGACTCTTGCTCATGCCCAGCCCTGGGCCCTCATGCCAGGGTCAGGAGTCTGTCCAGCCTGGACCTCCTCGCTGTCTACCTCTGGCTGTGTTTAGAGCCAGCAGGGCCTAAGCAGTCCCTCCTTATCTAAGCTGTGGACACTGAAGGCGGCACACAGACAGCAGGAATTCTGCTGGGAAGCCATGCACTTAGGTGCAATCAGACAGGCCTGTGATGGGGGCAGGAAACAGAAGCTGGAAAAGGGCAAGACAGGGGTTGGGTCTCACTTAGCTACAAATACCCACCAACAAGGAAGACAAACACAAACTTGTACTGACATCACTATGGAGCCCTCTCAAAGTTTCACTCAGTTTTCCTGTTAGGAAAAGTTCTTCCTCAGAACCATGTAGAAAATGGGCAAATTATCTGTTTATTCTCCTATGCATCCATCCATATATACATAATTCATATACCCATCCACCTACCCATCTATTCATCTGTTCAACCATCTATCCATCTACCTATCTATCCATCTATCTGTTCACCAATCCATCTACCTCTCCATCTATCTACCCAACCACCTATCAACCTACCTAACCATGAATCCATTCATCAGTAATCAATCTACACATCTATCATCCATCCATCCATCTGTCCATCCACTCATCCATGGATACCCATCTATCTACCCATTTGTTCATCCATCATCAGTCTATCTATCCACCAATCTATCCTCCTGTGCTCTCATGTATCCATTAATTTATTCACCTGTCTAGCCATTCATCTACCTACTCTCTAGCCATGTATCCATTCATCTATCCACCTATCTACCCATCCTCTATCCATCTAGTCATTCATCCACCCATTGGCCACCTAAACAAATTCTCATTGAATATCTCCTCTACACTAGGCCCCGTGCTGGACATTGGGGACATAAAAAGAAGGCACCCTGTTTGTTGTCATGCATTTAGTCTAGAGAAGATGCTGTGACCCAGAGAGCCATGCAGGATCTAGAGCTGATGCAGTGGCTGAGATCCTGCCAGAGAAGTGGTAAACATTCCTAAGCTGAGTCTCAAATACTGAACTGAGCAAGAGAACAAAGGCAGTAGGCTGGCAGAGCAGAGCCCTGGTGAGTGCTAGAGGCTGAGAGACGAGGGCTTGGGGCTTCTGATGCCTTCCAGCATTGGTCAGAGCAGAGAGCAAGACTTCCTGCCTCTGCAGCAGCATGGCTCCAGGAGCAAAACTGGAAGTGCTCCCCTGGAAGCAGCGGAAGATGGGAGATTAAAAGTGGCAGATAATGGCACTCAGTATTCCTATGGAACACTTCAGAGACAAGCTCTGAGGATCTGGAGGCCATCTCAGCTCTCAGGTTTGCTCTCATGTGCAAAGCTAAGATTTAATGATGGCTCAAAGAGTCCAGATCCTTGCTGCCTGTCACCTGCTTATCCATCCATCCATCTGTCCAACTGTTGACCTCCCCTTCCCCATCTATTCACTGCAGCCTGAGAACAAGGAGCCTGAAGCTCTAGGATCACTAAAGGCATTGGGTGTTGCATGCACAGCCACAGACGAGAGTGAGAGCCTGAGCAAGTCCAGGCCATTGTTCACAGCAGGGCTTTCTCCACCTCCCGTGAGGCAAGTACTGGATGCAGAGCCCATCCAGGGCCCAAGACAGGAACAGTGCTCCCTTGGGTAAACTAAGTCGTAGGCTTCCTGCCATATGCCTTGACATGTCCTGTGGTCACCAACAGGACCTAGATCGCAGAAAGACTGATGACCAGCAGGTTGCAATGGTCTTACCTCAAATCCTCCCTTCCTGGTCCTGGAGGTGGGAGACAAGTGAGACACACTACGGTCCTAAACACAGCCTGCTCTCTCTATGCTACCTCTAAGGAGCTGCCCATCATGAGATCGCGGAACAGCGTTCCCTCAAAGAAGAGACACTCCCTCCATTCCCTTCTCACTGAGGGATCTCAGGCAGAAAGCCTTCAATGAAGCCCCAAGGTACATGTTGCATTTTCCCCACATGCTTCCAGAAAAAAAGTTTAGGTCTTATCCTAAGGACTACACAGCCCTTCCCAATCAGACCAAAAGTTCCCACCCGTGTCTTTGCATCAGGCAGCACCCAGCCACCAGGGCGTAGAGGGATGGGTATCATGGCTTTATGGTCGTGAAGAATAGAGGAGATGTGGGGTGCAGGGTGGGGAAGTGAAGGCCGGCTCACCCGAGGCTGGGGCAGGAGGGAACAGCCACCTCACTTGTCCTACCTGGACAGGGATAAGAGGCTCCTTGTCATCGATGTCAATGAGCACGTCTTCCCCGGGGCTGAGCAAGCTCACGTCATCTGCAGGGAGAGCAAGTGCACGCCTGTGAGGGACTCAGTCGAGGGACCGCCACCAGACCTCTCAATCTCCCCCCCTCACATCCTAGCGGAGGTGTTTCTTTCTGACCCCAGCCCTTCCCTTTCCTGATTCTATCCCCCTCATCTTCGCATTCTCCTTCTCCCTCTTCATCCCCCTCAGCTCTTTCTCCGCTACCATTCCAATTTGAACCATGCTTCTCACCCACAAGTAGGATCACTTGCTCCAAATGTGCCCAGCTGCGGAAAAAAAGGCCCCCACCTCTGGGCCAGCTCAGCAAAGGTTACTTCTGCCTCTTTACCTGGGCCTCCCCGTGGGGAGGGACTTTCTGCCGAGTAAGGGTCACACAGGAATTTCTCCAGGGAGCGAATGGTGCATTGGCCCACTACTGGCCGGCGGCCAAACTGGCGGTTATCAATGACCTTGACCACAATTGGGGGACAGTAAAGGTCCTCTCGGGGCAACATCTGTGAAGAAAAGAGGAGAGGAAATCTAGACATGGTCCTCAGCCAATTTCCAGGGAGTCTCGGGGGAAGGGAGTGAAGGAGAACCCTCATGGGCAAGACCAAGGGACAGAGAATAACTTTGAGTCCCCAAGTGCCCCATGTGCCCCAAATTCAAAATGGTAGCCACCAGCCAGTGCTAGCTGGTGGGACAGAGGCCACACACCTTCCTGTCTATCCTTGGCTGCTGTGTGTGGCGGCTTGCTTTCCCACAGCTTTCTCTTCAAATACACCCAGGTCAGCCTAAAGTCTAAGCAAGTCTATTTTCTCTGAACCTGCACTGCTTGGGGGGTGAAAGGGGAGTTGGGCTGCAACTCAACATTTCTTACAGACAGTCCCCCCCAAGTGGATACTCAGAAGTTGGCTTGCAGACCCAAATTCTTCTCCCCCCACCCCAAAAGCACTTTGAACACAACTTGAAATAATTTATACGCACTCCTTCAGTGGCGTCTCGGCTGAGCCAAGAGAAGGCTCCTGTTGACAGCCACTGGGCCTGGAATTTCTATCGTGCTTTCATCTCGCAAACTATTTTCCTTTTCTCAGACTTGACTTACACCAGCCACTGGGCCCAGGCAACCCAGGGAGCTGGAGAGGGCTGGGGGCCGAGGATTGGAGGGCTGCGGAGTGGGAGACTCAGGGTTCTGGCCTCAGCGCTGGGGGTTGAGTCTAAGGATACAGGTCTGACAACCGGAAGACCAGGGATTGGGAGTTCAGGGCCAATGGCAGAGGACTGGGAGGGAGGGGCTGGGGACTGGGGCTGAGATCTGTAGGGGTGAGGGTGGGGAGCCATGGGCTGAGAGATCAGAAGTTAGGGGACCAGGGACGGCAGGGGCTGGGAGACCATGGACTGAGACCATAATGTGAGATCAGGTTTGAGGGCTATGGGAACTGTTGAGAGCTGAGGCTGCGGATTCTAAGAACCAAGGCTGAGGGACTGGAGGCTGGGAGCTGAGGATCTGGTAGCTGATGGGAAGGGATGGGAACTGGAGCTGGGAATGGGGAGGCCAGGCTACGGACTCAGAGGCTGGGACACTGAGAATTTGGGGATAAAAACAGAGGGATCAGAGGCTGAAGAAACGGAGGTAGAGGACTCAAGGCTCTGGGCAGAGGCTGGGAGCCAATGAATGGAGATCAGGGGCTGGGGTATCAAAGGCTGGAAAGGCAAGGGCTAGGGGCTGGGCCTTGATGGTTGGGGGCCCAAGGGCCACAAGACCCAAGACTTGGGGGTTAGAGTCTGGAGAGCTGGGGGCTGAAAGCTGAGAACTAGGGGGCCAAGGGCTAGGGGCTGAAAGTTTGGGGCTAAGGAATAGGGAACTGAGGACTGACATGGACCTGGAGACAAAGGACAGAGATGGGGATGACAGCTGAGGACCCCATGGCCTGGGGACAGGGCCCTGAGGAACTGGAATTGGGGGGCGCTGGGACTGGCAGATGAAGGTTTCCTGGCAGGGATCAAGCTAAGGTAGAACCAGGGAAACTTGGGGAGAATGGCTAAAGGTCAGCCCTGGAGACTCCCTGTGGGGAGGCCCTAGCAATGAAAGCCTTCATTAAGGAAACAGATTGAGAATGGCTCCTGAGGCTTCTGCTGGCCCAGGATCAGGCAGGAGAGGGAGGTAGCCATGTTTGCTGCACACAGGACCAAAACCTTCGATGGAGCAAGAAGTAATTCCTGTTTTCACAAGGAAAGCTTGTGAAAACACACACACACACACACACACACACACACACACACACACACCTGAACCTTTCTGAAAACCAGAGCTGAATCCCAGCGTTGCTGGGATCATGAAGCCACTCTGTCCCTCAGGGCTCTGAAAGGGAACAGTGGGGAGACAGAGCTCACCACTTCCATGAACAGGGTGCAGACATCAAAGTTAGGGTTCTTCCGAAGGTTTCTGATGACACAGGACTGCACTGTCTGGCCACCACACTCCACCACGAGGCTAGGGGAAGAGATGCTGGCCATCTGATAGCTCTTCATGTTCCTCAAGCCCCAGGCCAGGATCTGGGGGCAGAAAAAGGGGAGAGAAGCTGAGCAAGGCTGGAGCAGGAAGTGGGGAGTCCAAGGAGACAGCCCCCGTCCCACAGTCAGGCTCACCTCGATGGCTGTGCGCTGGAGAGCTGGCTTGATGTTCTGGGGGACCATGTATATGTTGGTCTCCCTCTGGGGTGGTGGGTAAGGTAAGTCTGTGTCCTCTGTCTGCAGGGGACAGCAAATCAGAAAAGAGACCACAGTGCGGGGGAAGGTGAAGGCTGTGGGATTAGGAAGGACAAACAGGCAGAAAGCAATGGCATGCACTGGGGGGCACAGGAATGGAGGACAGAGTTTAGGGTAGGCAAATAGGCTGGAAAAATGAAGACTCTGGATCAGCCTCAGCTGGGCACTGTGCTGGCCAGGATCAGAACACACACATCTTTGCACAAGGCCAAGGCTGTCCTCCCACAACACAGGCTCCACAACCAGTGAGATGCCCATGTCTCCCCCCCACCCCGTATAGCACACACATGTGCTCACATGTCGACACAAGCATGAACACCCTCCTGCTCCAGCCTGGCCCACCTACGTCAGCCTCTCGGTCACTTCCCTCAGTGCTTACCCTCCTGCCCACCAGCTGAGACACACCCTGCTTCCAGCCAGACCCCCCCCCCCTCCAATCCCCAACCCTATTATCACATCAGCAAGAAGAGAGCATGCTCACAGGAAGACAGGAAGAACAGAGCAACGGCAAATGAGGCACAGGGATGTGAGGCCACTGTCCTTACAAGACATGGGATATAAGGCCACCATCATCAGCACTCCAGAGGGGTCTCCCTCACCAGCACAGACCAGAGATGAGTGGGGAATGGGGCAAGGCTGGCCGGCTCAGGGGTTTCCAAAGGGAGCTGAGCAGGATTCACTAAGAGCTATGTGGGAAGCAGGGCAAGGCAATAGAGGAAGGTGTGATGTCGGATTTACAGACTCCTAGCATGGCAGTTCGGGGTGTGACCATGAGCTCTCCCATCCCCTTCCTGTCACTCAGCGCTAGACAGCAGAAGATAGTCTCTAGCTAGTCGCCAGCCTAAGAGCTGAGAAGGATGTGCCACACACCTGCAAGAGTGCCTGCAACAGGTACATGCTCACGGGCACTCCTGGGGCAGTTAGAAGAAAATGCCCTTTTCATAAGACTTTTGGCTCCATGTCAGGAAATTCTATTTTATAAGTTTATTAGGTCAAGACGCTTCACTGCCACCTAGTGGGAAACACTTATAATAACCACAAATACAGGTTACACTAGAAATTGTACCTCCTTGGATACACGGTCCTTGTGGGGTTCTCAGACCACACATCCATACATAGAGGTCTTGATGTTACAGAGATTAACTATTATTGAGCGGGATGTGCCTTACTAAGCATTGTGGTCATCTGACTATTCTCCAACCGTCTTGTTCTGGAAAGAACTACAAGTATATCGACAGACAATCGCTAGCGTGGACGAGAAGGGCGACGGGAACAGAGAAGAAGAACAGCTTCCTCACACCTACAGCAAATTTGACAGCAACTCCAGCCACCTCCTGCCCAGTGGCCGCACTGGTGAGGCCACAGTCCCCTGACCCACGGCAGGAAGGATGTCAGGGCCAAAGCCAGACAGCCTGGGACTCTAAGGCCAGCTCTGTTGCTTCCTAGCTGTGTGGCCCTGGGCAGATTACTCAGCCCCAGTGACTCAGTGTCCTCATAAAGAGGGAATAACAAGATGCTGAACAAAGTCACTCTGAGAACGAAACCAGAAGAGGAACAAGAGGAGTATCTGGCACCAGAGGCACTTAATAAACGGTGTGACTGTAATTACGGGTGCCATTGTTGTCGGCCCTGTGGCTGTTACCATTGGTGTCCAGGCTGCTCTTCTAAGGGTCACCTGAGGAGAGCTGGGATGCCAGGAGCCTCTCGCAGAACAATATCGGCTTTATAACTACCCTTAATTCACCAGGACGAAGGTAGAAACTGGCTAGTTTATTCCTTGCCCACAGTAGGTGACATGATACAGGAAGGGTGACAGACAGAGCTGCCTCGGTGCATTCCTGCAGGAGAGCTGTGCCCACCACAGAGCCTAGGATGGGTGCCCCCAAGGACCTGTGCAACCCCTCTAGCAGCTGGGCTGCTAACAGAACGTGGGGCCACACTATGACATCTGCCACCAGCTGCAGGTGGCCTATTTCAAGGGCCACGCTTTGTGACAGCTAACTCTCATGGCTGATGCCGGTCCACTGTAGGACCAAAGTAATGGGGAGGAATGGCAACAGGAAGCATTAGGCTCCAAGCTTTGTCAAATGAGGAGGTCACCCGTCCACCAAAGCAAACCCATCAGCTAGCTGTGGGCTGTCTGTGCACCACCCTCCCATCTCCTTCCCCCAAGCACTGTGAGGATAATGATGTATGGCCTGAGAACTAGATTTCCCGCAGAGGAAGCCCACTCCCTGCGTAGGATGGAAGCAAAGAGGCCCGAGCAGGAGTTAGTACCGTCTGGAAGAGGCCCTGCAGGAAGAAGGCAGGGGTGCACAGCTATGGAGCCAGGCAGGTGGAGGCAGGAGGAAGAAAAGCAGAGACAGAGATTAGTGAACATCCAGGGATCACTTCCTTAGCATGAGGTCCATACGCTCATCCCACACTGTCCCCAGACCTCCCACAACATTCCCGCCCTATGCCACCTGGCTGCAGTTCCTCGGGCTCCTTCTCTTGATGGCCCTCTGTCCTCTGGGGCAAGGCTGTGTCATGTGTGCCACAGAAGCCAGCACGGAGCTGGGACTGTGTACCCAGTCCTTAGTGCTCTCTAGGTCCCCAACCCCATCTCATCTCATCCTTCTAGTCCTTCACCCTTCCTTCCATATCTGTCTTTCCACCCCAAGGTCCTCTATCCCTCACCTCACATTGTGTTTCCCTGAGCCCTCCTCCCACCTCCATCCTCCTCTCTGCCCTGTGCTCTGTTCCAGCACCTTTTCTCTGGAAACTTCTCTCCCAAGTCAATAATCATTCTGAACCATGCCCACCCCTTGTCAGCACTGCCAGCTGAAATTAATGTCTCTTTTAAAGTCACCTACCTACACAGATCCCTCTTCCTGTCAAGGACGAACCTCCCAGGCCACCTTAGCCCCTTCCTCCCTCAGCCCTGCAAAGCCAATCTTTGCCCCTTGGCTTTTCCTCATGTCCCTCCTCAGCTTTAGCCCATTCCTAGCATCCAAGCCTCCTAATGGCATCTCGCACTTAACTTGTCAAGGATTAATTTTTTACCCACTCCCCCAAACCTGCTCCCTTCCGGTGTCATATCATACATTGGCCCCAACAACCACCAAGACAACCAGTGACACCCTTGGTTCCTCCCCCCTGCCTCGCTATGCTGGTTGGTCACCAAGCACTAGTGGCCCTTTCCCTAAACCTCTCTCCTGTCTCTTGCTATGCCTCCCCTTCCGCCCTTTCCTTCCTCCCATCCACGTTTTCTTCCTCCTGTCCAGATATCCAGCAACCCACTCCGTGGTCTCCCTGCTTCTGGTTTCACACATATCCCTAACTAACAAAGCCCACGACACTCTGTGGGCATGCCGTTAGGACGTACAACTCATGTGACCCTGCACGCAAGACACTGACAATGCCCAAAATGGCCCCCGAGCCCTCACCTTCCAGTGACTGATGGCTTCTCTCACCAAATGACTCTCCCCTCAGGATCCAAATTCTCAATATACTCTTCTTAAATGGAGACGCTGTGTTCTCTTTAACCTTGGGACTCAGTACTCAACATCCATCTATCTGGAATACAGTCTGTCCCTCTTCATCTGGCCACTTCCTGTTTGGACTCTGTGTGTCATTTAACTCTTCCTTGGTGCCCTAAGCATGTTACGTTCCGATGTCTCCATGAGCCCCACAGCCTCTGTTTACCCCAACCTTAGTCACACTGAAAGACACATCAACCACCCTGTGCCACTTCTCTGTCTTTGTCCCTGCTAACCAGCAACTCTGAATTGATCAGCAACGACTGTGAAAAGGTAACCGGAGTGAGGGAAGGAATGAGGGGGACAGGAGGGGGTAAAGACGTGGCTCTCCTTGCCTACACTGCCTCCTGCTCTGCCAGCACCCTCAGGTCCTCTCTGAGCCCTTGCTAGCTGTACCTGCTCATGGCTGCACCAACCTCCTTCACTACCTTCTGGAACCTGTCAGTCTTTAGGGCCTAAGTCAAGCTCTCCCTCAGTTTTTTCAAACACTCCAGAAACTTCTTATAGCCTTGCTCTCTGACATGTATTAAACCTAAATGACTCCTGACACATACACACCTCACACACACACCACACACACATACTCACAGAGAGAGACACACAGACACACACATCTCTCACACACACATACACATACACATCTCACACACACCTCACACACACCTCACACACACACATACACACAGACACACACATCTCTCTCACACACACACACACACCTCACACACACACACCTCACACACACATACACCTCACACACACACACCACACACACATACACACAGACACACACATCTCTCACACACACATACACACCTCTCACACACACATACACACACCTCACACACATACACACACCACACACACACACACCATACACATACTCACACACAGAGAGAGACACACAGACACACACATCTCTCACACACACATACACACACATACACACACCTCACACACACACCACACACATACTCACAGAGAGAGACACACAGACACACACATCTCTCACACACACATACATACATACACACCTCTCACACACAAACACAGACACATATACCTCACTCACACAGACACACACACACACACACACACACACCCCTCACGTAGTTCCAATGAACCTGTCTTTGCTCATCTCAGTCAGGAGGTAAAAGTGGGCCTGGATCATATTGCCAGCTTCTAAGCCTCAGTCTCCTCCTAGTTCAGTCTACCTAGGATGCCCAAAACTGTCCTTCCAGGACAGTATGAGTGCTGTGACCCCTATCAAAACTGGACAGCATTTCTTCACTGCCAGGAAAGGGAAGGGGCAGACAGCAAATGCAATCAAGGTGTCTAATTGACTGTCTCACGGGTGACAGGGACTGAGCTCTCCAGGCCCCAAGGACAGGCCAATACCATATTAGCCTGGTCAGGGACAGCCAGATTAACTGAATTCCTGTACCTACCCTGAGTCTCAAGCAAAAGTGGTGAACACAGGTGGGCAGGGTATTAATCAAGCCAGTTCAGTCCCAGATCTCCAGGAACAATTGAGGGATATATCCCAACAGTAGAAGCCACCCTTAGCTTCTTCTCAGCCCATATGTCCCCAGGGCCAGTTCAACATAGAGAGGTGAAGGCCCAGATATGCTCCTAGTCCTAGGTGACAGCACACTCGTCAGACGTTTCTTTCCAGGGCAGTGAACGTGTTGACATGTCTCTGCTGCCAACCGGACTGCCCTGTCCCCAGTAGCCCTCAGATCCCACCTCACCCAAGGGGAACATCCTGGTTCCTTGGGGAGCTGCAGGCAGGGGGCAGGCAGGCAGCAGGAGGCTCCATTGTCTGTCCGCCCCACCCAGCTCATTAGGAACAACATACTGGTCTAATTACACTTCCCAGGGAAATAGTGTTTCAAATTAAGGCCTTGGGGGAGGAGGAAAGGGATGGGGGGCACTGGGTTTATTTTCCTGATTGCAAAACACCAAATGTTTCCTTCTAGTGAATGCTGGGGTGCAGGAGCAAACCTGGGGAAACCTTGCTCAGAGTAAGCTGCATACCCTGCTGCCTCCTAGATTTGGGAAGGTGTCTAGGGTGACTAGTTGGACCACCGTGATAGCAGCACAAGCAGCCAAGAAACATATGCTGCCCTCTACCAGGGCATCCTTTCCCTCAGAGCAGAAGAGAAGAGGAACAACTAACCATGTCCTTTGGACAGTCAGATCCCCAGGCTCTGGGGAAGGTCTTCCCAGTCCTAAGAGCCCCACTAGTAAGAAACTCCCAGCACCTCGTCTGCCATGTATGTGCGCATGTGTGTTCTCACCAACATGCCCATGCGCACTGCATGCGCATACGCGCCAGTTCTCAGGAAATCTAAAATTGCAGTTTCTTTGAACTCATTCCTCTTGGCAGCCTGAACTGCCTTTGTTCTCAAGACCAAAAAAGGGGAGGGGGGCTCAGAAGAGGTGGGAAGGAAGATGGGCCAAGGAGGGCACAGAAGAAGGATGAGACAAAGAAGGATGGGAAGAAGCTCAAAAAAGGACAAAGACCAAAAGGCAACGTCTGCTCTCCACAAGGGCTCAGGACTCTGCACACTGTAAAGCCCCCAGCAAGCAAAGCAGCCTGGCTTCCCCCACCTAGAGCCCCACAGAGTGGTGTTCCCATGGCAGAGAGCCTGGGAGAGAGGCTGTTGTTGCTACTGCAGGGTCCCGATGCAGCTGCACAGTGTCTCTAGCCCAAGGTACTGTTTCCAAAACCTTCCTGCTTCAACTGCTAGCTCAGGGTCCCTTCTTCCAGGGACTCATCCTCTGTCCTGCTCCAGAAACCATTCTCCTGGGCAGTCAGTCCCAGGCCTCGCGTACAGGCCTTTCAGCATCATGGGGGAACGTTTGGCTTGCCACCTAGCTATGCTGGCAGTTGGGTACTCCTGGACTTAACCACCCTCTAGACACTGCCTCTCTATTTCTCCTGGCTCAGCTCCAGGAGGCCCTGCCACCATAACTGTCTCAAAGGCCTCCTCCCCAGTCTCTCTTCTGACACCCGGCTGTACGGTGCAGGCGCCCTGCATAAGAGCGCTTCCTACCATACCCTCACTCCTGCTGTGCTCCCAGGCTCCCTGGGGAGTGGGCACAGTGTGCAGGGCGATTGGACTGGGAGGTTGGGAGAAGTTAACCGGGAGCATAAGCAGGTCCTGGGCCACCACACAGAAAAGACAGAAAGTCCTCTGCTGGGTCAACAAGCTTTCCGCAGGAGCAGAACAGCAAGGAGAATGACCTGCCTCCTCTCAACCTCTGGGGAGCCTTAAAACTGAGTAAGTCCCACGTTCTTGGCAGGACACTCAGCCTTCAGTCAGGGAAAATGTGCTGAACTCAGGGCCAAGGGTTACACTGGTACCCTCTGGGATAAGGGGCATCACAAGGTCATCTTATAGGATGGGTCACCTCCCTGGGCCTTGAACCCTTTGAACCTGCTGGGCTGGCCCCGCCTGTATCCAGAAAACTCCTACAGATCTAGCTATCCTCTGGGCTGTTGACCACAGGAAGCCTCAGCAGGGGGCCTGGCCAGCCCTGATGCTCAACCCTTCAGGGTCTGGCCCCAAGCTGCAGTTTTGATTTGCTTCATGGTAGCCAGGCCACAGCCGCATCCTCGCCCTGAGTCCGAGCCCTCGCTATTCCATATGACACATCCGGTCACGAAGGATTCAGAGTCTGTCATAACTCATCCCTAGGCTGGGTCCTCTTCAGCACAGGCTGTGGGTTTTGGCTAGGGTTCTATGTTGCCTTCCAAATCGGCAGTCTCTCTGCATGGCCGCCAGAAGCAGGAGGCCGCCTGTCAGGCGCGAAGAGGGCCAGCAGCTGGCAGGCCCCCACCTCTGCCTGGGAGTGAAAGGAAGTGAGGGAAGAGAGGCGGGCTACAATCCCACATCCTGATTGATCCTGCACTTCAAGTCCAAATTGCACCGAAAATGTCAAGTGGTATCCGCTCTCAACCCAGCCCAGGGAGTCCCTGACTCCCCAGTGGAGGACACGATGGCTTTTTCCTGCTCAGCCTCTGCCCAGAGTGCTCTTCCCATCCATCTTCACCCTGCACCTAGGCTCCCTGGACCAAAGACTTGTGCCTCCCACCTTCTTCAGCGCTTTGTCAAAGCTTTTACACTGCTTCCACCACCAGAAAGGTTTCCTTGGCTACTCTGGCAGCTGCCCAATTTTTATGTCTGAAAATATGCCATCTGGTACTCAACCAGACAAAACTCAGTATTGCTATTCAAGTCATCTGTATATGTCTGGACTATAAGAGGGCATCAAGCCCCTGGGGCTAGAATGACCTCACAGGCCATACCCCAGGCAGCTGTGGCTGCACTCTGAGCACAAGGACGAAAATCTAGCCTGGTCACCCTGTGACAGGAGCTTGGAAGCTAGCCTTTACCTTCCCACCCCCAGGTCTACCAGCTCCCCCATCCTTGAGTCCAGCTCACCTCATCCAGTATACTTGACGTTTCGTGCATCTAGCATGGTCCGCATCCGGGAGACAGGGGGAGAACCGGGAAAGCAAAGGGTCTCCATTAGTAACCAGAAGCACTGGCTGTGACCAGGATGGCACCCACAGAAAGCCCTCCCACCAGGGGTGAGCATGGCAGCTCCTTCACCACACCCTCCCATATGAAGAAGGGACAATGGACTGAGAGCGTCTGTTCCTCTCCAGAAGTGGCAGGAGGGAGAACATCAGACAGGCAGTAGGAGGGACGTGGGACCCTGTGTAGCAGCCCCCGGAGAAGTCAGGCCTCAAGCAAAGCTGTAGAACTGTATTCTTGACTTGGGCAGTCATGAAAAGTCACATCGAATCCCCAGGACTAGCGGAGCTGGGGGCACCAGCTCTGACAGGACAAGCAGGGGCAGGGGGAGGAGGCTGGCAGGAGAGGGCGAGGAGAAGCAAAGGGTGTAGGAAGAGCTTGTGGGGTTACGATCATCGGACCCTATGTGTACCAACAGCCCAAGCAGCTCCCGCTGAGCTTGCTAAAATGGAACAAGGAAGAAAATAAGCTTGAGGCTCAACACAGGTTTTTACTGAAACCTCCAGGCAAAGGAGGGACCAAGGGGACATTGCCAGCAGAGGAGAGGAAGGGATCACATGGGAGGAATGGGCTAGCTGACATTCTGAAACTCCCTGGGCATCAGAAGCTTCACATGGGTGGGTGGGGTATGGGATGCTGGGCCTCCACCCTCAGATCTTGCCTAGATGGCAGCGGACCCAGAAATTGGCATTTCAAATAATACTGGACTGCTCCCAAACACACTTTCTGATCGTCAGCCTGAGCCACAAGTTAAAGGCCTTAGGCAGTACTGCAAGACCCTAAGCTTGGATTGTACGCCCAGAGGCTATGGTCAAACCTGCACTCCCTTAAATGTCAAACCCACTCTAGTGAGAGTAATATCCAGCCCAACCCAGAGCCCTCAAAGGGCAGCTCTGAGATCTCTGCAGTTTGGAACTTGATACTCAGCCATTTCCAGGCAGGTGATACCTGTGCTAGAGGTTATGGAGACACTGAGTAAGACGGGACTGTCAGCCCCTGGTCATCTACCCTGAGGCCACTACTGAGTCATTTGCCTGAATCCTGGGCTCTCAGGTAGGCTGAGGTGGGACCTGCTAGAAGCCCTCCCAAGCCTAGAGGGGTCAGCAAAGATAGGGAGACTAGAGAGAAACACACAAACAATTCTTACCTCAAAGCCAGGAATATGATGGATTGCTGGCTAGGGTAGAGAAAAGAGGGTATTGTTCACCTGCTTCCTCGCCCATCCCAGACCCCTTCATTGCCACCCTGGGCCAACACCCACAGACTTTGTCAAGTAGCAGACAGACCATGGATACAAGCTGTTCCAAGTCGAACAGGCGGTAGGCTGTGTCCTCCAGACACCTTACCCAGAGCTGCCACAGAAGCAAGGCAAGCCTGGGGTAGCACTCAAAACAGCCTGGTACCTAACAGTAGGGTCCTGGTTGCAAGGACCAGAGTCAGGCATGGCACAGCCAGCCCCCAGTGGCTGTGGGTATTCACCATACCTGAGACCCCTTGCCCCCGCTACCCAGGCTCCTGGAAACCATGACAGGGAATGACCTGGGAAAACTGCTTTGGCCAGAGGATTTAGTCATCCAGAAGCCAACATTCTGCCCTCAAGTGGATTGTGTCCTGACTTAGAGATGAGAAACGGTGTGTCGTGTGGGTGTCAGTAGGAGGGCTGACTTCAGGGGAGACATCCAGTTCCTACTGAGTTCAGCATGTGGACAGCCCCACCACCCTTGGCCTGCACCCCAGCTGGGCCTCCCAGGCCTGGATAGTAGCCAGCCTTACCTTCTCTCTCTGGATCAGCTCGAACGCTGCCAGCAGCTCGCCCGCAGGCTGGCTGCCTCTGGTCAACGGGAACCAGGCCAGTCGGGGCATCCGTTCCAGGCTGGGCTGACAGATACAGCGGCCCATGAATTCGTCAGCACCCTAGACCAGTGTAGAGAAAGAAGAGTCAGTGCCCCCTGCCCCAGACTAGGCCTGCATCCGACCTCCAGGGCTAAAGAGGACCCCAGAAGTCAGGGCAGCCTCTAGTGCGGAATGGCGAGCACTGCCCTCTTGGGGGAACTGTGAGGAGACAAGATGCTAGCCCCCTCACTGCAACTAGGATGGAATTCCCACAGCAGTTGTGGAAGTCCTTCTGTATGTCCAACTAGTATTCCCCATGGTTGTCTTTAATCCATCCCTGAGCCCATCAGAGAGCAATGAGAAACAGTCCGCCTACACTTCATTAACGCCCTTGTTTGCTTAACTGCTTCACCCTGAACATCCCCATTTTTTCAGGTGACCTCGCTTCCCAAGATGAGCCTTACTAAAACGATATCTTCTGAACCTGGCGTCCTTCCTCACTCCTACTGCCCACATGACTCGGTCCACCTCTCCTTAGTGACTGGACACCAGTTCTTCCCAGCGTACCTCCCTCCATGCCCACCTTCCCCTACCTCAGTCACAGCAGACAGATTACCCATAGCTCCTGGGGCAGTCAGCAGAGCCAGTCAGATGGTGCTGTGGACATCACAAGCCTCAGCCCTTACCCAGGAGAGGAACGGGGAGCCAGTCCTGGCTGTTCTCACACTACACTACAGGAAGGCCTCAACATTTCTATGAGCCACCCAGGAATGGCTACCAGCACGAGCACACACACCACACTTGTGAGCGACAATCCAGAATTGTCACTCAGACTGGACAGTGGGCACAACAGTGGGAAGGGTCTGGGGCTCCTCGGGGCCAAGCGTGGCCCCCTCAGCTGCTGAGCTCTGTAGGGGGCGGGGCTGGCAGGTTCCCAGCTCATCCCTGGAGCCACCACTACCCCAGGACAGACCATCGTTCTCCCTTCCCTCTTAGCCTGGCAAGCATGAGAGGGGCAGCCTGCAGCAACATTTCCAGAAGATTTTTCTGAAAGAGAGTTTCTGGCTGACCAGCCAAGGAAAGGTCAAAGAGGACCCAGCCTGAGTAGGGAGCGGCAGTGAGATAGAGGGAGAGGCACAGTTCAGAAGACATTTCTAGAAGGAGTTACCATGGCTGGGTGTGGGCGAGCAGGCCTCCAAAGAGCTCTGGCCCAGTCTGGGAACCTACAGTTTGCCTTGTACCCATCTAGTACCTCCCAGCCCCCATAGACATTCTCCCCCTGCTCCACAGGCACCAGGACCTGCACTCTTCCTTCCCTTCATGGCCCAATGACGCTCCATCCTGTTGCTCCCTGCCTTAAGCTCAGCTTCCTCTAGAACTCCCAGGTCAGCATCGCCAAACCAGACCCGTGCTGCCCACTGCTAGCCTCTGTCATCTTCTGATGGGCACCTTACAGAGCATCACCTCCCTCCCCTAGCTGACACACCTTCTCGGGACTTCTGACGTGTAGTCATGGCAACTCTTACTGGAAATAGCTTCCGACCCCTCCTCCTTGCTGCTGCATCCACCCAGACCTGACCTCTCTACCTACTTTTCTTTGTGTGCAACCACATGGCCTCCCTTACTTCTGACCCCTATCCCCAGCTGCCTGGCCTCATTCTTTCTATTCATCATCCAGTAGCCCCAATATTTGCTAGAATGTCCTTCTATGTTCCCCTCCCACGTCTGTTTCAGGATTTTTGTCTTCACCCCAGCTTCCCCTGATATTTTGCACAGTATTGTGTGATACTGGAACATGAGTCACCTTCAGATTTTTGTGGGTGGTGTTTTGTTTTGATTTGTTTTATTATTAGGCAAGGTCTCAGGTACCCCAGAATGGCCTCAAACTTGATAGGTAGCCAGGGAGGACCTTGAACTCCTGATCCTCCTGCCTCTACCTCTCAAATGCTGGGATTACAGACATGCACCACCATGCCTGGATGCCCAGCTTACACAGTGCCAGGGATCAAATCCGGGGCTTTTTGCATGCTAAGCAAGCTCTCCACCAATTACATTGCATGCACAATATACCCTGTTGCAGTTACTTGAATTTAAAACTCATGTTCTCCATTGGTACAAGTGCCCTTCAATGCCGGGTGGTGGTGGCGCATGCCTTTAATCCCAGCACTTGGGAGGCAGAGGCAGGTGGATCTCTGTGAGTTCGAGACCAGCCTGGTCTACAAGAGCTAGTTCCAGGACAGGCTCCAAAACCAAAGAGAAACCCTGTCTCAAAAAACCAAAAAAAAAAAAAAGTGCCCTTCAAGTCTCCCCATATGAAGCTGGTGGATCCCCTCCCAGAGAGCACAGCCAGAAAGCATAGCATGGTCACAGGATATTCTGTTGAACAGCACAGGTGGACCACAGGGCCGTATGGTACCCCAGACACTCTGTCTCATCTAGAGGGTTCTTCACATGCTGGGCATCTCAGTTCCCACCTAGACCACAAACCTCAGGCAAGAGGTGGGTCACTCAGCCCAGTACAGAAAGTGCTTGATTAAAAACAGTGGCGAGAAGGGACAAGGTAGACCTGCAGAAAAGCCAGACCCTGCTCCACAACTCTGTTCCCTTTCTGGAGCTGTTCCCTTCCCACGGTTTGATTAGCCATGTCTGCCAAGGGGCATCGCCCATTTTAACTCCTCTAAATCATTTCAGTGAACCATGAGGGGACAGCCACCAGCCCAAGCCTTGGGCAGAAGTCCCAACACTCACAGCCCGGCTTTGCCCAGGGAAATAGGCAACAGAGAGAGGTAGCAGGTCATCATACTCACGTAGGTGTCGTGGTCATACAGCTCCACCACAATGCTGGGCGGATACTCGGCAACACTGGCTGGCTCACCAAAGATCTCGATCTCATAGAAGATGAGGGTTTGATCCCAGGTGGGGTTCAAGGTGTTCTTCTCCACCACCGTCTTCTGGCTCTGGTGCAGGAAGGAGACGATGGCATAGGGATCTGTGTGGGTGCAGGGAAAAAGGACACAGGATTTGGCTGATGGTTCGGGAGTCCCAGGGCCACAGAGCCAGAGCATGGCTGTGGCTCCACTCTGGAATAACAACACTCAGGCCAGATGCCATCCAAGGCCAGCTACCGCCACTTGAAGAAAGAGCCTGACCTTGGCTTGCAACTTCAGACCTTCCCTTTCTTCACTCCTATCTGACGAAGGTGTGCGAGAAAAAGTGGATGCCTGTGTGGCCCACTCATGTCTACAGCAAGGGTTTGCTGGGTGCTCTCCTCGTGCCACACTAGGGACCAGTGCTTTCCTCGTGCCACACTAGGGACCAGGCACTAGGAGCTGGGGGCAGACTGACGCAGAATATCAACTATCTGCCCAAACGGTGAGAATTTGAATAAGAGCCTGGAAGAATAAGGGCAAAGGGCAGGAAGTGTGTTCACGGTACATCTGGATTCTTGGAGGATGGGGGAGTAGGGCACAGGCATTGGGTCCTAGGCACCCTGAGAGCATCAGCAGGACATGGCCAGCACCTTTCTTCAGCAGCTCATACCCCTGCCCCCGTTGCCACATAGAGACCAGCAGGAGACACACAAGCCATAGGATAAACCAGCTATGAGGCTCCTGTACTAGTACAGGCAGAGGTGGCTCGGCCTCAGGTGGACGCAGGGCCAAGAGCTGTTAGGCACTGCACGGTGTGAGCTCCTCACGGGCCCAAAATTCCTGTGCAGCCTGCCAGCCCCATTAGCCTGGGACCCAGCCAGTCCTTTTCTCTGCCTTGTCCAAAGGCAAGTTGGTATAATTCTAGAACAGTGGTCCCCAAATGTAGAGTTACCATGGAGTCACCTAGAATGTTTCCACAGGTATCTTGCACATCTGATGTAGCAGAGTAGGGTCCTTGACTCTCTAGCAAGCTCCAGGTGACGGTGTGGGATTCTTTGGGACACCAGTGTGAGGTCATAGGAATGGCGTGCATGGTTTGGGAGAGGAGCAAAGTGCTGGAGGGTGGGTGTTCTATCTTCCCCCAAGAGCACAGCAGTTTAGGTGCGAGGTCCTTTTCCTTCCAAGTGACAGGTGTTTAGAGCACATGGACAGGAGAGGTGGGACACAGGAAGCTGGCAGCTGGAGCCGGCTGTCTGAGAAGACCAAGCACAGGGCCTTAACACAGCTGATAGCTTCAGCCCCAGCTCTATCCCAAATGTCAAACCCCAGACCAGCCCCAACACAGCCATTAACTTCCTGTGTGACCCAAGAGAGCACCAGTGGCCTCAAACGGTGTAGAGCCATCCAAACAATCACAGGTCAGGGTGGGGAGACAGGGAATCAGGCCAGGTTTCTGACCATAAGGAGACCATGAGACAAACCGAGACCCCTGCACAGGAAGTGACAGAGAGCGTGGTTGGCACAAAGTGACTATATAAGAGGTGGGAAGACGAGCTAAGAGTAGGACTTCCACTAAAGGAAGACAGCGAGCTTCAACACTGTGACTGTCACTCAAGAGTGAGTGTGAGGGCATCTGCCTCACAGTCGGAAGCCCTAGGCACCTGTGGCAGAACCACACCAGGTTAGCTGATGGGCACCGAACTTGAATCAAGCCTGCTAGTTCAGGAACTGAGGTGCAGTAGGGGAGTCATGGAGGGCATCCCTGTGATACTGGCTTTGAACCTGACTCTGTGGTTGGAAGAGGGCAAAGGGATGCCCTTAACAGAGAGAGAGACTCCCCGGGGGAGTGCCTCCCTGGCATGGGACTCCACATCCATGCACAGGCCCTGGCAGGCTGGCCCCGAGCCCTCTTCCTTCTGCCCCTGGCAAGGCCTGGCGGCGTCTGTGCGTTTAATGAAACCGTCTGGCTGTGATACCATCAGCTCCAAGCTCGGCAGAGAACCTCTCCCAGTTCCAGTAAGGGAAGGAGGGCGCGTTCCGATAAATAAAACCATATTAGAGAGCCAGCGAAAAAGCCTCTTTTGTTCCCACCCCCCTGTGCTTCCCAATGCTTTATTTTTATAAGCGTGCGGGCCCCAGACCGACCGCGTTTACACAAAGGTCACAATTGCACATTGTAGCGGCCATGCACGTTGTATTGGTGTTGGCAGCACCCCCCACGCAGGCCTCCGAGCAGGCTGGCTCTTTCCAGCAGCTCCAGCAGCCCAGGCAATGAGCTCAGCGCTGGGGGACAGAGAGGGGCAGCTTACAAACAAAACTCACCCAGACCCACACACATGCACCCCACCCACCCATGGGAGGGAAGAGGACAACAAAAGCATTGTAAAGAACAGGCCTGGAGGCCTTGGGCCTCAGACACTAGGCTACTGTGTGCCCAGGGCCCAGCCTCCACAACCACCCCCGTCCATCTCCCCACCCCCATCCCTGCAAAAGACATAAGCAGCAGCAAGGTGGCCAGATGGACTCATGGACTCACAGACACATCCTCTGTCAGGGAACCAAAGAGCAGGGGGTTGCAGGTCAGGGGGGAGGGAAGGGTCAGATCACCACGTCCAGAGTCCAGCCAGCCTGAGGGCTGCAAGACCCAAACAGCTAAAGCAACCGCCAACAGGGCATGTTTGGACAGAGCTCTCTGAGGACCACAAACTGCCTTTGAGAGGCTCTAGAAACAGACCACTTGAGGATGCCACCAGGTTCCCTCACAAGAGAGCCAAGGACCTGTCACCAAGCCCCAGGACATTTTCTGTATAGTGTTGGGCCAGCCCTGCTGCCCGGACCTTCCTGGAGCTCCAGATGACACTTGTGTCCCCATCAATCAGCCAGACTAGAGGCTATGACTTACGGTAGTACCCCTCCCAACGCAACCGCCAAAGAAAAAGCTGGACCCAGGAACACTAGCCTGAGATCCCAGGAGACTGAGGCTGGCCTGACTCCTAGTACTCTGTGCCATCCCCATAAGAAAATAAATCAAAACAATGCAAGTTCAAACTAGGCCACAGCAATACCATGACTACAAAGTCAAGAAAAAGGCCTATAACCCAGCACTCAGGAGCTGAAGGAAGGAGTCAGGAGTTCAAGGTCATCTTTAGCTACATAGTGAGTTCCACACCAGCCTGAACAACATGAATCCCTACCACAAAATAAAATAAAATTTAAAAGATAAATGAAATAAAAATTCAGAAAAAAAATGTTCAAAATTATCAAACCCAGCATTGGCAGGCAGTGGCAAAGTTAAGTGTTCTTTCCTATTGGAAGCTACTTAGTGACCCTTCAGAAAGCAGTTGGGCAGGATGCCTGAAAACATAAAATTGTTTTTAATGTTTTCCTCATATTCTTGGGCATCATTCAAATTAGCCAAAGGCTCTAGGTGCAAGGGTGTCACTGCAGGGGCGCTGGTAACACATGGCTCATGCAGTACTCATGTACTGACTGCCTACTGTGCGGAAGGGTAGCTCGGTGCTGGGGATGCAGAGATGAAGGAGACTCCAGCCAGTCTCTTCAGTGTGACCCCTGGGTGAGGATAGTCACTACCCAAGTTAAGAGCCACAGTGACACAAGTAAGTAGGGGCTGGTCTCGCCTGGCTGCATCCAGTTAGGTTCCCAAAGGAGGTTCTCCTAGCCTGATCCAAGAAAAAAAAAAACTAAAAAGAGCAAGGTGTGCCCAGACGCCAGCCATGCACAGGTTAAGCAACTGACCTGAGTGAGAGGCAGAAGGCAGTACTAGAGCCAGAGCGCGGCAGTAGAAGGGATGGTGGACAGATATCAAAGGGCCCTTGACTGGTGCTGAGAAATCTGGCTGAGTCCCAACTCATGCATGCTTCCAGCTCTTGGGAAGGCATTAAGGAGCGCTGAAGCAGGTTAGACAGCCGCTGTGTATCGTAAAGCTGGGACCCATTCCCCAGTCTCTTTCCCAGGAACCCTTTCTAAGTGAAGCGTTTCACAAGCCTCTGATGCAGTCTGGAAAACCCCTTCCCATGCCTGATGGGTGGATGCCGCCCCATCCTCCACTCCCGCCACCACCAGAGCCAACTTGAATAGAAAGCCTAGATTAGAAGAGGAGGGCCAAGTAGCATGGAGACATCAGAAGCCCGAGAGCAGGAAGTCCCCAGTGACACCCAAATCTAGGGACCACTACAGCACAGGTGAGCTGAGGCTCAGCAGACCCCACTGTGACCTGCCCTAGCAGGAACACCTCTCAGAGACACATTGTTTCAACTTCAGTGGACTACAGGCCAGCAGAGGAATGTGGGACATCATAAGTAGACCCTTCACCTCCTGAGTCACTAAATCGTGTAGCGTCTGGCCTGTCTGCCATCTCTTCTTGACCGGGTTAGTCAAGGAATACACCTTGGAGCCCTCTGACCTTGAGGCCAAAAAAGGAGTCTAAATAATAAACATATCTTTGTTCCTGAAAGGCTGTAAGACAGCACTTCCCAAGATCCTCTGTATAGGGAATGGCAGGTGTCAGTGGGACCACGGCTCCATCCAATACAGAAGCAGTTCTCAGTGGGGATAAGACAAGGCAGACAGCTTCTAGCCTCCAGTAGCCTTGGTGTACATAGAACTAGGAAGATGTGGGCTTGGACTGTGTTGGGAGATGGCATGATGCTGCCACTTTGAAGGGTCAGGCAAGATGGAGCCAGGAGCAGAGCCGATGGCAAGTGATGTCTCTCAGTCCTTGGGAGTCACGGCTCTTAGCTCAGAGCAAAGCCCACACCAATATCAGAGAAGACAACTGGTACGAGCTGCATCTTATACTCTCTGCCTGACCTCTGCTGCACACACTCGACTCAAGCATACACCACAGGCACCTTCCTTGGGTCTAGAGAGCAGATGTGGCCACAAGGGCAGGCCCCACTGAGGTGCAGTCCCCAGGCCACCGAACAGTAGCCTCCCACAAGTATCTCCTCCAAACTCCACACCCACAGGCTAGCGGTGGGAAAACGGTGGGCAGCAGAGGACCGCATGACCCTGGACAGCGGGGAGGTAGCTGAAAGATGCTCCTAGTAGTAGCTGTCACAGCTAGACCCTCCCCTGGTCTCAGACATTCCGGCTTCAAACACCAGGCTCCTCGGCTATGGCAGCCAGTGGCCGGGCACAGCCTTGAGCAGCCAGCCACCCCAGGGTCAGTTCCCGGGGAGAAATCGCTTTGGTTTAGGGTTTGGGAGTGAAAATAAACACTCCGAGTTTTATAGGTTCCCCCGTGTTGGCTGCTGTTTTCCTTCCCAGCTGCTGCTCAATCGGGCCTTTCATTCAGAAGCCCATGGCCTCTGAGGAAGCCCTGGGCAGCGCCCTCAAAGCTCAAGGGATGTTTATCTGGGTGGAAAGTATGACATCTCCCAGACCAGTGCCTGCTGACCTTGCTGCATGATCCAGACGCTGAGCTCCAGCTGCCCAGGCTACCTTTGGGGTCCTTAACCAGCTCAGTTCACAGAAGACAAACAGCCTTCTACCCTCACCCACGCACCACGCCGCTAAAAGGAAAAGACTGGTCTGGGGCTCAGTCCATTTCTACAGTCCTCAGTGCCAGCTCCAACGTCAAAGTCCTAGACACAGCCACTGTAGATGTCTAACTGCCCCCAGCCTGCCAATGTCCGTGTGCAAAGGGCTCTCTCAGGACCCGCCCCCAAAGCCCAGGAGGTAGGTACTCCAGGTGCCGGTGCTTAGCTGAGTGGGGATGGGGGGCAGGTCACTGAGAACCCAGGAACCTGGATGGGAACTACAGCTTCTGTGATGGAAAGAGAGGTTGGGCTTAGAAGGACTGGCATGTGACTATAAGCTGTGCAGCCATTCTGTGACCAGAAGGCCACTCGCACGGAACCCTATCCTCCTTAACCATAGGTAGGTACTTGTGAGGGAACCACTTTGGACTTAATTCTCAACTCTGTCACCTGTCAACTCTTTCAACTCAAGCAATTTAGGGAACCCACCTGAGTCTCTATTTCTTTACCTATAAAATAAAGAGGTGGGACACCTGGCTGGTGCACAGAGGTGCTCCATAAATGTCTGCCCTTCAGATGTCCAGTGCTGAAGATTCTGAGGGAAAACCAGGCACTTCATTGTGTGAGCACCCAGCTGGTGGGAAGACTGCAGCAGACAGACCACAACTGAGCCCCACAGTGGATAGGGACACAGAGAAATGTACCAGGGAGGTGCCAAGCACTGGGGGAACCAGAGGACATGTGATCTGGGTCCTGAAGTTGAACTTGAGGAAGAAATGCATCCTAGGCTGAGAAGGCATTAAATGCAAAGGTCAGGCACATGCAGGAGGCTTGCAATTGTGGATCGAAGCTGGCGGGGCTGGTGGTTCCTGGGTAAAGCAAAGATGAATCCGGTGAGGCCACAGTCACCACACCTCAAAGCTTTGCCTGATGGGGCAAATACGGCAGGTTCATCTGTCACGGTCTATGCTTCAAAACAAGGGAGAAGAAGTCCGGTTATGCTTGGGGCAGTGTGGGAGGGAACAAGGAGGGCGGGAAACTGAGTGACCTGGATAAGTGTGTTTCTGAAGCAAGGATGCATGGAACTGTATAGCCAAGTCTTCCATAAAGAACCCCAGGCCAGTCAGGCAATACAGGAGCTGGGCCTGGGAAGGCAGGGGTCTCAGGGAGCTGGGTCCGCACAGAGTGACCTACATAGAGAAAGACATCACTAGAGACCCAACAAAGAATGGCCCCTGGGAAGGAAGAGACAATCAGCCAAGTCATTTCCGGCAGAGGTCTCACATGAGAGGTAGCTGCCCTGAAGAGGAAGAATCATCAGGACCTGGGAACAGTATCCAAACCTCACTGAAGTCAGCCACTCAAAGATGCTGCCAGCCACAGCGCACACTTAGAGCCCTCCCACTGGGAGTTCCGGCTCCTCCCCTTTTTCCACCTACCTGAGAAGGAGTCTTTGTCCATGGCTGGCAGGTCTCGGGCCTGGTACAGATAGCAACGCAGATGGTAGCGATTCCCATCTTCATTCAGGAGAAAACAGAGATGCCATGTGATCAATAGGGTTGCTAAAGACTGGAGCTACAGGAAGAGGAGGGTCTGCCCCAGGAAGGTCAGCACAATCTGGCTATATATGAAAATGGCAAGGCATGCAGAGCAAGCCTCTAGCCCAGAGGAAGCAGCTTGCATCCTCTGAGCCTATCCAATCCCAGGGAGAGAAAGAGTGGAGGAGGGAAACGGAGGCCAAACTCACGGTGAGAGTGACCTGATTGCACACATCCCATCTCCAGCACTCAGACGCGAATGCCCACATGTACGCAGGCACACATACCAAAAGACCTGACTGGCCTGGGAGCACACAGTCGGTCCTATAGAGCCTCAATATATACACTCCTGACTATGGAACTCCACTCCAAGTGTGATGTCATGCGTACACACTCAGACACCACCAACTATAACTTACAGTCAAAGATGCAGGAGATCGTGGGTCTGTTAACGCCAAAGCTCAGGGTAGAAACGGACATGGAATCTTCACTCCGGTCATCCACCATGCCGCCCTGGGGACACAAGGCTTATCAGGGCACAGCCAAAAACTGACCCTGGATTCCTGCTCCCGGCAGCCCCTGGATGCCAGTCCTCCTCTGCACACACAGACCTCCGAGCCAAAAGCAGCTCTGGTGTAAATCCTCCATAGGGTTATGCCTGAGAGTCAGACCAAGCGATTTGCCCCATCTCTCCCACCCAACACCGAGGCCCGGGCTTCAGTAAGGTCATGCTCCCCACAGCTGCCCTTCACTATTCTTAGGACAAGGTCTTCCCCTGTCCTGGCCTTGCACAGGGCCCACACCACTTGTTCAGAAGGAACATGCTTCTCTCCGGCTCCAGGATAAACATCGAGGCCCTCCTGCAGCTGCATGGGCTCCGAGTCTCACCACTGGGCACCTCCCAGGCAGATAGGGAGAGTACAGTGGCACCCCTCCAAAACTGGATCACCTAAGTTCTAATGCTGCCTGTCACTAACTGTCCCCGTGACTTCAGACAAGTTGCTTAAGTCCTCCAGATCAATTTTTGTAGATCAGAGATGATTATACATTGCTCAGGTCAGAAAGTTGTGTGCCTGTTAAAGACAGACAAGTAGTTCTTAGGACCCCACCTGGCCACAGTTTGTGTTCAGAGAAAGCTAGCAAGTCACTGTCCTAGGGAAGTACAGCATAGGCTGTGGGGATGGATGTCAGAAGCTGTGCAGGGTGGAGCTGGGCTGGGGGTGGTGTTCATATATATATACACATATGAATATGTATATATATATATATGGTCCATTTGTTCTGAATTATTCCAGAAGAGGTTCAGTCAGTAAGGTGCTTGCGCACACACATGAAGATGTGAATTTGATCATTAGATCCCCACACACACCACACATACCACACACATACCACACACCACACACACACATACACACACATCACACACACCACACGTAAAAAACATCAGATGTGGTAGTCCACATCTGTGACCCTAGTGCTGGAAGGCAGAGACAGGAAGCCTAGACTAATTGCAAGTCCTAAGCCAGTGAGAAACTCTTTAAAAACAAGGTAGGTGGCTCCTGAGGAACACTCCTGAGGTTGATTTCCGGATTATACACACACACCACACACACCACATACCACACATACTACACACATACCACACACACCACACACACACATACACACACACACACACCACACACATACCACACATATACACACACACTACACCACACCACACCTCACACACACCACATACCACACCACACACACACACACACACACACACACACACACACCTTGATGCTCCTACCACTAATGAGCAAGCTTTTCTGGAGATGGACAGTACAGGACTCCAGCCCCTTGTCCTCAGCCTAGCCACACACAGGTGTCCTACAAGCAGGCAGGGTACTGGATGAGCACATGCAGTTGTAGGAAGTGGCCCACCTCACAGGACCCACAATGCATCACTGCTTGCTGAGCGAGCATACACACACTTTGTGCCTCCCCTCCCACCCCCTTCATAGCACCTCTCGCTGAGCCTCTGACTGCACTGTCCGGGTCCGTATACAAGCACTGGGCCTGCAGCCTGAGATCAGAAGAGGTATTCTCCTCCCTGGCACTTACACAGGGGCTGGGCCAGGTATCCCAGGCCTGGCTCAGGGCCTATGAGAATTCCTCTTGTAGTGTCCTACATGGGACCTGGGTTCCCTGACCTGCCTCCCAAGGATGGCCCAGCTACCCCACATGGTCCCTAGGGCCCCAGCCATCCCCATCTGATCTAGGACCACTGTGGTCCTACCTTGCACCTTCTCCTGCCTCAGGGTTTGGGCATTGATCGGAGAAAGCACTTCAGGAGGCAGAGCAGATACCCTCCTAGAGCTGGGCAGCCACACTCATACTCAGAGAAAGAGAGAGAGAGAAGAAGAAGAAGAGAGCTGGACATCACCCTAAACAGATCCCATTAATGTCTGGGAACAGAGGGGAAAGCAGCCCTCCCTGCTGGCCTTCAGCAGGCACTGAATTGGGACTTTAGAGTGCTGACATCCCGACACTAGCACCCCACTCATGTTAAAACAGCAGGGACACTCTGAGACCCCTCTCTCACCACACAGACACCAGTGAAGCAGATATCATCACCTCTCAAAGGGGCCAGGGACATCCAGTCTGAAACATACCCTCACGGTATCCTCACGCACCATAACAGGATCTCACAGACTTCGATATACCAAAGATTCCCATCAAGGTCAATATGGGCTCTGGGTACCACAATGACCAAGCACCTCCAACAGTGCTTGACACAACAAGGCCCAGAGACATTCACTGAGTCGGTGGCTCTAACTCAGGGAAAGGCTTGCCTTCTCCTGAAAAGCACCTTTCTCCACACAGAAGACTGGAGCTGAAGCCATTCTCAGGGTTATGCTGAGGGAAGGCGCCCAAACAGACACCATCTGAGGCTGCGTGTGACAGGAGGCAGGGCAGCGCTGGCACTGGCCGGCTGATTGGCAACACCCTGCCTTCGCCACCATCATTTCTCAGGACCCAAATCCAGGGACCATTCCCTGAGCTGGATCCCGGGAACTTTCAAGTCAGAGGACAGAAACCAGGGCAAAGTTCTGTGTTCTAGGTGATGATGTTCACTGAGGACCATGCCCAGGGCATGCGCAATTACAGTGAGACAGGCAGACCAGCCCTGTGCCTGGAGTTCCCAGAGTGGATTGAGGAAAGGCAGCTGGCATGGCCAATGGCAAGTCCCTGTGATCCTCAATCTCATCTGTGAGAAATGCAGGGAGTTTAACCTTGGTCTTGTGAACACTCTGCGCTGCGTTGTTCCCAATGGCGAGGCCTCTGGTGTCACAGGCATGTTTGAAGCATCCCTAGTCACCTGGCGGGGTATCAGTACCACTCTGTTATGACTGCCAAAATGTCTCCAGACACTGTCATATGTCACCCAAGGGAGGGGTAGTACCCCTCACTTAGAAACATTGGTTAAAAAAAAAATTAAATCGATAACATACCCACAGCCCTCAGTAGGTACCTGGCATTCAGTGTGTCTGTCACTTCTCCAGGCCTATGTGAAGCAATTCATCACCCAAATCTCCACTCCTTCCCCTCTAGTTTTCTTAAAGGCCTTGCACATCTTCTTCCTTCCACCACAGGACCTTTGCACTGCCTGTCCCTCCCACTCAGCACATCCTTCCTGCTATTCTTAAGCTCTCCCTCCGTTTTAGTCATTGCAGAAGCACGGGCACCTCTTGGCTGTCTGCCTTGAGCAGTTCCCTGCCCTGCCAGTTGTCTTCTGAAGGGCAGTGGGCAAGGCACGCACGACCTTTCTATTCCACGTCCCCAGCCCTCAACCTGGCCCTGAGATGGCTCCAGGAAAGAAAACCCCAGCAAGTCCTTGCCTTGGACAATATGGACAGTTCAGGGACCAAATTCCCAGGTAGGAGGTAGTGACTTGTGTGGCTAACAGTGTTCCCCTCACCTCAGGAGTCCATGGTCTGACTGCCACAGAAGGAACCCCCCCCCCCCGCCCCGCTCTGGGTCCCTTTTTGACCAATAGGCTGCTCTTTATGTAGGAAGGGCAACGGGGATTTTTGGGGTGCCCCTTTGGAAAAGGCTTCCTGGAATAGGTACTGAGTAATCACAGGTGGCAGCATCAAAGACGGGCTCAGCTGGCGGGTGAGGAAAATTGGGAGGGGGTGCCCAGTGGGGTCCTGGAAACAGCCAGGCTCCATCGGATGCCCCTGCTGGGGTCTCTGCCCGTTCGCCTCTCTCACCCACTCCTGCCCAGCCCTGTTGGCCGAGGGCATTGGGTTTCCCACAACCACATTCTTCACTCCGTAGCTCATGTGGAGACTCCCAGGCTGGGGCTGGCAGCCATGCCGTCTGTGGCCACACACTGTGTCCTAGGGCAAGCTGTGTACGGGATCCTATGGCTCCCTCTGGGGGGGACTGGGCGGCCTCCAACCCACTGCTGCCCGGCAGGAGGCCATGGATCCCTGGAGGAGCCGGAGGCAGTAAGAAGGAAAAACTGGGCCTCAGAGATGCATGGAGTGCCCCCAAATGTCCCTCGAGAAAAAGTCAAACTTTTTTGGGCCTGCCCAGGGCTGACCTCCAAAGGCCTTCAACCAAAAGGAAGCAGGCAGGTTCTGGGGGAAATGCCTACAAAAGGGATCCCCTCCCTCATCCAGATGAGATGGAGACCTAGAAAAGGCTCAACAGCATGCTTGAGAGTCCTTCAGAGCGACACACCACCCACTAGGAAGGTTGGCTGCTCCAGCCTCAAAAAGGAGCCCTGAGTGAGCTCCCTGGAGAACTCTATCAACACCCATGTGGGGCGGTGGGAGGGGAAAGCTGGGGAAGCTAGAGGCAGAGCGACTACAAGCTTAGAAGGCTGGGACAGTGCTCCAGATGCAACACTATGGCTGCTGGGAGGAATCAGCAAGGCCTTAGGGGCTTGTTGGGACCATCACGGAGACCCCAGCAATCTTCCCTGCATTGGCCAGGTCAAGCAGAGAGGTGTAGCCTACCACCAGTGACTGCCATCGTCCTCCCTCCAGGGAAGACCACTCCCACCATAGGTCAGGAGGCAGAAGCAAGAAGAGCCCAGTCCCCCTGGGAAGGATCCTACTAATAGGAACTGAGCAGTGCCCTCCTCCATTCATGCAAATAGGACCCCAGGGTGGCAAGGGCCGGAGTTGTTCCACAGCCCAGAGTAGATTACGGATTTGGGACTTGGCAAGGCAGTTAATAGACAGGAGAAAGTCTCTACATTTACAACTCGAGAAACTGGTATTTCAAAACAGAGGTGGTGGTGCATGTCTATAGCCCTGGCACTTGGGAGCCAGGGGTACGAGGGAGCAGGAGTTCTAGGGAAGCCTGAGTTATCATGAGACTGATTTAAAAGACCAAAGAAACAAAGAAAGAAGACCCACACATATCTGGGAATTGCCACTGTAGAAATCAGCACATGCTCTAAGCCTGAACTGGGAAGCCTGGCATGGCTTTTTCTGGAGAGCTGGCAGCCG